ATTTGGAAGAGCACTCAAATGCAATGTCTCGTAAACAACACCTTGCCCAGCAAAGCTACCATCACCATGGAGCAAAACACCCATGTTCTTTGTTCTATCCACATCATTAGAATAGTATTGCTTTGCTCTAGTTTTTCCAACAACAACGGGGTCCACAGCTTCTAAGTGGCTGGGATTTGCAACCAATGATAGATGAATTCTCTTACCACCTCTAGTAGGTCGATCATACGAGGTTCCCAAATGATACTTGACATCACCAGTTCCCACATAGCCAGCTCCGTCCGCAGGTTTTGTACCACCGCTAAACTCACTGAAAATTTGCCTTAGTGGCTTTCGAACAACATTACCTAAAACATTTAATCTACCTCTATGCGGCATCCCAATTACTATGCTCTCAACTCCCAGATCTGCCGATCTATCAAACATCTCCTTCATGCCAGGAATCAAGGTCTCACAACCTTCAAGCCCAAATCTCTTGGCTGCCATCCACTTGGTCGCCAAGAAGTTTTCGAACTGAGTACTCCACATCAACCGGTCAAGAATAACTTCACGTCGTTCACGGTTGTATTCCCTCGGTGTAGGAGTCTCAATACGTTCTCTCAACCAATTACATTTATCACGATCGGGAATGTGCATGTACTCGAAACCAATGCTGCCACAATAAGCCTGCTCAAGCCTTGTCAATATCGCCCTCAAGGTCTGCACGGGGCGATTCTCAGACAAGAAACCAGACATCCTCCAAACACCAAGGAAGAACTCTCGGTCCAGATCAGCTTCAGTGAACCCATATGATACTGGATCCAGAACATCTGGAATTTCCCTCTCCTCCAAAGCCAACGGGTCTAATTTGGCTTTCATATGACCATTAACCTGATAAGCTCTCACAAGCAATAGAAGATTCATACTTTCCTGAATCGTCTGGCCAGAAATCCCAGGCGATGTGGCGGCTAGGCCAGCAAAATTCCTGAAAAAGTTGTCCCATGATTCATCCACACTATTCGGATCTTGTTCCCAAGTCCGCTGAAGCTCCTCAAGGTAGACACTGCTGGTACCATCTAAGAAGCTATCAGTCAACTTTGAAAGTGGTACAGGCCTCGGGACAGGTGCAGATTGCGCCTTTGGCCTGATAACTGTGGTATGAAAATATCTACTTTGTGATGGAGGAATGCGACTCCTTGGCACGTAAGAACCACCCTGAGACACAGCTCTTCTAATGGCAAGCTTTGCCACACTAGATCCAGCTCTAAACCATGCCATTGCTGTAAATCAAGCCCTCAAATTGAATTTAAAAGTACTTCACTAGTTTCAATAAACCCTCAACCAACTAAACTTCAAAACACAATCATTATACCTTGAGAAATAACCTAGTAAGAACAACAGGAAAATACAACAATCAATAATTTGAACGGAACAGCAAACAGACAGAAATCATTCAACAATCAAAATCAATTTCTAGAATTCAAGTAATCTCAACAGTCTAGTTTTTGGTATTAGAATGAAATAGTTCCGCATCGAGCAATATGGTTACGCATGATTCATACAGTCGACCTCAACTAGGTTGGAATTAAGGTGCAGTGGATTAATTAAATAGTTTAGCTTCCACTTTTTATGACGGTGGTGTCCAGACCAGCTTACACGCACCTTAACTATTCCACTGAGCACCTGCTACCTTCCACCGGCACAGGAACCATGTAACTCTGCCTCTACAATTTAGGCAAATGGAAGAATCACCTAGAGTTTTTTGCTCAACTAGGATTTGAACTTGAGATCTCATAGTTCTCCTCCCACTTCATTGACCACTAGGCCACACCTAGGGTATTAAATAGTTTTTGAGCATAGCAAAATGGTTACAGAGGATTCATATAGACGGTCCAACTAGATTGGGATCGAGGTATAGTTGGTTGATTGATTGAATAGTTTAGTTTTAAGTATTAGAATGAACTGGGCCCAAATGAAGCACAATAATTACAGAGGATTCACACAGTTGATCCCAACTAATCCGTGATTAACACGTAACCAATTGATCTAATAATTTACTTATGGAAAAACAAATTCCTTCACCATTTTGTTTCATTTTTAGGCACCACAGTACATAGCTATAAAAGCAAAGTTTTACGATCCAGCACTCTCCCCTACAACAGCAATTCAAAACGCAACAGGATCTAGAATTTTAATCTCAAAAAAACACCAAATCTAACCGAGAAAAGCAGATTTAAATTCAAACGGAATACAGATTACGCTGAATTATATGAAATTACGAGTTAGCATTTAAAATAATCAGTGGAAAATGATAAATACATGAGAATTCGATGGAGAATAATAATACCTTGAGGAGTGAGCAAATGAAAATGAATGAGGGGTTTGTGGGTTCAGGGAAACGACTTTTTAAGAGAGAGTGGACAAAGGCCACGTTCAAAGTTGAGGTATCAGCGCCTATATTTTAAGCTACTTTTCTTCCCATGTTCTCGAACCTCACCATTATTCTTCCCCTCGGCTTCCTACCTCCCAACAAAAAGGGCAAAAGTTACACTTATTTACATCAAAAAATTAATAAATGCAATATAATATTATATACTTTTTCCTGCACACATTTATGGTATAAGTTGTTACAGTATTTATATCAAATAATATTAATTTACCATATTAAATAATTTAATAAGATGATAGTAATATATACTCTTCCGGTATAATTAAATTTTTTCCCATCTTGTAAAAAATATTGATTACTACATAACAATAAAAAAAAAATTAAATGTTAAAAGTAAATAAGAGTATATTAGTCAAACGATCTTCTTATTAATTAAATGACGTATAAAAGAGAAATATAATAACAAAATGGACCGGATAGAGTATAAATTAACCACGGCTACGTGAGAGAATTATATTTGCAAACAAATATCATGCATCTAATAAATAATGTGGTGTAAAGATCGAGAACGAGTAAGTTTCTATCGATGTTGTTAAGGTATATATTTTTTTTCTTTAACTTTTAACGCTATAGTTAAATTAGGCATAAATATTTGATGCAAGTAGTAATAAGTTAATAACTTTTGTTCTTTATTAGACTCTCATTCTAGGTTTGGAAGAAAAATAAATCGTGAGTTTTTCTTAAGAAACCAATAGACATGTAATCTAGGAACTTCTTTTTATTATTAATCAAGTCAATTAATCAAGTATTAAGAAGTCATTTCCCTCTTCTTTCTCTTTTCATATTATGTACGGTCAAAACCGATTCTCGGTCATAAATACTGACCAAGACAATGACGTCTCGATCGAAGGGTATCCACATATCAAGCTCGGACGAATTTCGGAGTAAGGGCGTCGAGTTTCGAGCTATAAGACTGATCGACGGCAAAACTCGGTATCATTATCGACCCCGTATCCGAATCGAACTACGAGGTAACTCCGACCGACACAGGCCCCGAATATCGATACCCAAGGCAGAACGGGCTCGGACCAAGACCGGGGGTTCGACCTAACACCAAGCTCGAGCCAGTGCCGAGCACGCCGACAAAAGCCATCATAACCGCACCAAGGGAGAGAATCTTGGCAGGAATCAAGGAAGAGACAAATCATCATGAGTCCTCCACTATATGCATTATTTTATTATGTTGTTATAGATAAAGTAGTGACCCTCTATTATAAAAAAGGGGGCATAGACTGCAATAGACTCATCTTCCCCAAGATACATTAAGAGTTCATGTTGCTCATTGAGCCTTCTTATTAATTATTCCCATTTTATAGCAAATACCGGTATTGTCATTTTTGTATCATAAGAAATTTACGTATCCTTAGAACCACACCTAAATTCAATGTTTTCCAATTTTTCGGGTAAACAGTTTGGCGCCCATCGTGGGGCTAAGGGTAACAGTGATTGTTTGATATAAATCTACAGTACACTCCAGCTTACAGCCTCAAATCAGCAATGGCTCTACCTATTGACCTCGAAGCCGGCCTTCAAGATGAAACCAACAACTTGGCGCCCGGGGCCGGAAGGCTACCTGACAACGGCAACGAGGCTCGGATCGAAGAACCCGAAATTCGAGCCGAAGTACCATTGGATATCAATTCACAAATAGTTCTAGAAGCGAATCAACGTTCTGAACCGGAAAGAAGCATTCAGGGCGGTGCTCGACCCATAGCCCAAGACACCCACATCACGGGGAAAATCGGGGTCAGCTTGCGTATGATTTTCGAAATGCTACAAGCCCAACAAGCAGCGATAGCTCAGTTACAGAGCCAAACTCATATGCAAAGCAGGCCGAACTTCAATCCACTTCTTCGAGAAGTCACCCCCGTAACGAAGCCCGCCATAGTAAAATCAAACGAGCAAGAATTAGAGACCACTCCTGAAATTGCTAAATTACTCGAGGAACTCACAAAACGAGTCGAAGCCAACGATAAAAAATGAAAACATATAATGCTAGGGTCGATCAAATCCCGGGGGCTCCGCCGATGATAAAAGGGCTTGATTCGAAAAAATTTATACAAAAACCTTTTCCCTCGAGCGCGGCCCCAAAACCAATCCCCAAAAAATTCCGTATGCCCGAAATTCCCAAATATAATGGTACAACCGATCCTAACGAACATGTCACCTCCTACACATGTGCCATCAAAGGCAACAATTTGGAGGACGATGAAATCGAATCTGTGTTGTTGAAAAAATTCGGAGAAACCCTCGCAAAGGGAGCAATGATCTGGTACCACAATTTGCCTCCAAATTCCATTGATTCTTTTGCCATGTTAGCAGATTCATTCGTAAAAGCACATGCTGGTGCCATAAATGTCGTAACAAGGAAATCAGACCTCTTCAAAGTAAAACAAAGGGGTAACGAAATACTGAGGGAATTCGTATCCCGATTCCAAATGGAACATATGGATTTGCCACCGGTCACAGACGATTGGGCCGTACAAGCTTTCACTCAAGGGTTGAACGGGTTAAGTTCGACAGCATCACGTCAGCTGAAAAAAAATTTGATCGAGTACCCGGCAATAACCTGGGCAGATGTACACAATCGGTACCAATCAAAAATCAGGGTCGAAGATGATCAATTGGGAGCCTCATACGGACCCGCGCGTCAGAACCGCACTGCCACTAAAAATCAGAGGGAAATCAACAGAGAACAAATATCGAATAGAGATCGATACCAACCATACGTCACAGATCGGATGGATAACGGTTCAGCACGTGATACGATTCGGAACAACCGAAGGACTGATCGGGGGCAAAATTCTCGGGGACTTATGAGTAAGAGCGGCTTTGATAAATATGCAGATCCTATAGAAGTTCCTCGATTATCGGAATATAACTTCAGCATCGATACATCTGCCATCGTATCGGCCATCAGACGCATCAAAGACACCATGTGGCCTCGACCCATGCAGACCGATCCTGCCCAAAGGAATCCCAATCAAATGTGCGNAGATCCTATAGAAGTTCCTCGATTATCGAAATATAACTTCAGCATCGATACACCTGCCATTGTATCGGCCATCGGACGTATCAAAGACACCAGGTGGCCTCGACCCATGCAGACCGATCCTACCCAAAGGAATCCCAATCAAATGTGCGAACATCATGGCACTCATGGACACAAAATGGAAGATTGCAGGCAATTAAGAGAGGAAGTAGCCCGCTTATTTAGCAAAGGACACCTTCGGGAATTTCTGAGTGACAGGGCGAAGAACCATTTTAAGAACAAGGACTTCGGCAAGAAAAACGAGCTAGAAGAACCGCAACACGTCATTCATATGATTATCGGCGGTGTCGATTCCCCTCAAGGACCGATGCTTAAACGCACTAAAACATCGATCATGAGCGAAAAACGATCTCAAACTCAAGATTACACACCCATAAGGACTTTGTTTTTCAATGATGAAGATACAGCGAGAATCATCCAACCCCATAACGATGCACTGGTAATATCCGTACTCATGAATAAAACTAATATTAAGCATGTGTTAATTGATCTAGGTAGCTCGGCCAATATCATCAGATCGACGGTCGTAGAACAGCTCGGCCTGCAAGATCAGGTCGTACCCGCGACTTTGGTTCTAAACGGATTCAATATGGCATGTAAAACCACCAAAGGCGAGATTACCCTGCTGATAAACGTGTCCGGAACCATCCAGGAAACAAAGTTTCATGTGATCAAAGGTGATATGAGATATAACGCCCTTTTCGGAAGGCCATGGATCCACAGCATGAGAGTCGTACCCTCGACCCTGCACCAGGTCCTAAAATTCTCAACATCGAGAGGCGTCAAAATAGTGTACGGAGAACAACCGGCCGCAAAGGAAATATTCTCCGTCGAGGCAGCAAAATCAATATCCTCGTCTTCGCTAATAAAAGGATCAGGTTCAGAAAGAAACATAATCGAAGAGCAGAGCGCCAAATAGCAATCACAGTCATTGGCTTCGACCCATCAGGTAAGCGAAACATTGAAGAAGATGATGATCGATGGATCTCTCGATCCTTCGTAACCCCGGATGATTCTGATGCCACCAAATCAACGATTGAGGAACTGGAGCAAATCATACTGATCGAATGCTGGCTCGAGCGAAAGGTATACCTGGGGACGGGTTTGAGCCCCGAACTCAGGAAGAAACTCATTCGATTTCTTATTGATAATATCGACTGTTTTGCCTGGTCCCATCTAGATATAACATAGATTCCGCCGGACATAACGACGCACCAGCTAAGCTTGGACCCTAGGCTCAGACCGGTGAAGCAAAAAAGAAGACCCCAGTCCGAGGGAAAGCACGCATTCATAAAGGATGAGGTAACCAAACTTCTCAAAATAGGGTTCATTCGGGAGGTAAAATACCCCGAATGGTTAGCCAATGTGGTTGTAGTGCCTAAAAAGGGGGACAAACTTAGAATGTGTGTGGACTATAAAGATTTGAACAAGGCATGCCCCAAAGATTCCTTTCCACTGCCCAACATCGATCGCATGATCGATGCCACGGCCGGCCACGAGATCCTCACTTTTCTCGACGCCTATTCCGGGTATAATCAAATTCAGATGAACCCGGACGACCGGGAAAAGACTTCATTTGTGACCCAATATGGAACATATTGCTACAACGTAATGCCCTTCGGACTAAAAAATGCAGGAGCTACTTATCAACGCCTAGTAAATAAAATGTTCGAAGAATAAATAGGTAAATCAATGGAAGTCTATATTAATAACATGCTAGTTAAATCCCTGCGCGCAGAGGACCATTTGACCCATTTGCAGGAAACGTTCGAGATTCTGAGGAAATACAACATGAAGCTCAACCCCGAGAAATGTGCTTTCGGGGTCAGTTCGGGCAAGTTCCTCGACTTCATGGTGTCAAATCGGGGAATCGAGATTAACCCCGAGAAAATCAAGGCCATCGAAGACATTACCATCGTGTACAACGTGAAAGTTGCACAAATGTTAACGGGAAGAATTGCAGCCTTAGGCCGGTTCATTTCAAAATCATCAAATCGAAGTCACAAATTTTTCTCCCTACTTA